CTCTCAACCTGGATTGGAAGTTCTGAGGTCTGGGTAACAGGGTTGCTGCTTGGTGTTACTGGAATTCTGGTATCCCTCAGTTGGTCTGTGTGTCGACGCCACACTAAGCCAGGTTTGACTTCTACTTTGTAAGAAAGGGGGCCAAGTTGTGTTCGGATGATGCCAGGTACCCACTTTGTACTACCAGTGTAATTTCGTGCTATCACTGTCTGACGGATGGAGAATTCTCTGGTTACAGCACCACCCTTCGTGACGGTTTGGTCTATCTGACCGTTGCTTATCTTCAAGCGGAGATCTGGTTTCAGCAAGTCGAGTCGAGTGCGTAATCGTCTTCCCAAAAATAGCTGAGATTGCGCTTCTCCAGTGGTTGAATGGGGGGTATTTCTGTAAGCTAGCAAGAACGTTGCCAGCTTAATGTTCAGAGGTTTTACTTCCGTTTCACTTTTCATGGCTGATTTGAAACTCTGCACACAGCGTTCGGCTAGACCATTGCTGGCAGGATGGTGTGGAGCAGATGTCAGATGTTTGATTCCATTTCTCTTGAGGAACATAACTGTGGCCCATTGTCACTCACTAACTGGTATGGCACACCATATCTAGCAAATAAGCTCTGCAGTTTCTCGATGGTTTTCGTTGAGGTCGTGGTGTCCATTTTCTCTATTTCCAACCATCTAGAATGGGCATCCACGACAATCAAAAACATGCAGCCGAGGAAAGGTCCGGCAAAATCAATATGGATTCGCTGCCAGGGTGACGATGGCCATTCCCATGGATGTACAGGTGCGGTACTAGGTTCAGCCTGCATTAGCTGGCAACCCGAGCAAGTCTTCGCGGTTTCCTCAATTTCCTTGTCGATCCCTGCCACCAGATGTAGCTTCGTGCTAGGGCATTCATCTTCACCACTCCAAGATGTCCTTGATGGAGTTCCTCAAGCACTTGTGGACGAAGTTTTGGAGGTACTATGACTCTAATTCCCCACATCAAACAGCCTGAGTGTACTGTTATCTCATCCCTGTGAGCGTAGAAGGGGTCAGTCATCCTTTAGTCACCATCTCATGGACTTGACTCAAGACAGGGTTTCTTTGGGTTTTTCTTCGGACGTTGTCAAATGTGATGGGTAACGGCTCAAACTGCATCGTATTGAAAACATTTACTGGGTCCACAACTTCTTTTGCTCTCTCTTCGGTTTTAAGTGGCAGCCGGGAAAGGCCATCTGCATTGCTATGAACTTTAGTGTTCTTGTACTCCATTTGGTAGTCATATCCAGCCAAGAATAATGCATAGCGCTGAAGCCGGGCTGCCGTAACCACTGAAATGCTCTTGTGTGGGTGGAAGATGGATGTTAACGGCTGATGATCAGTGTACAGGGTGAAAGATCGGCCAAACAAATGCACATGGGATTTCTTGACTCCCCAGATTATTGCCAAAGCTTCTTTGTCAATTTGCGCGTACCCTTGCTCAGTTTTTGTTAGTGTCCTGGAAGTAAAAGCAATGGGTCGCTCAGTCCCATCATTCATCATGTGGGATAGCCCGGCACCAATTCCCACAGGGGATGCATCACAAGTAAGTCTCAGTGGCAGACTGGGATCATAGTGTGTTAATACTTGCTCTGAGGTGATCATTTCTTTCACGTTGTAGAATGCGGTTTCGCATTGTTCCGTCCATTTCCCTTGATGGTTGTTCTCTAACAACTGGTTCAAAGGGTGTACCACGGTTTACAGATTGAGTAAGAATCTCTTGTAGTAATTAACTAACCCCAGGAACGACCTCAGTTCAGCTACATTGCTTGGGCGAGGCGCTTTCAAAACTGCTTCCACTTTCTCTGGTGACTTGTGGAGACCATGACTGTCAATATCATGTCCACAGAAGGTTATCTTCTCTTTTAAAAATTCGCACTTTGTCTTGTTTGCTCTTAAACCATGAGCCTGTAAGCACGTAAAACTTCTAGGTTGGTAAGGTTCTCATCATCATTCTTTCCAGTGATGATCATATCATCAATAATACAGCTTGTTCCAGACGTTCCTTCTAACACTTGATCAATGGTGCGCTGCCAGATAGCAGGTGCAGAGGTGATACCAAACACTAGTCGGTTGTACTGGAACAGTCCCATATGGGTGTTGATTGTGAGGTATTTCTTTGAATCTTCTTCCATCTCTATTTGGTGATATGCTTGGCGGAGGTCAATCTTTGAGAATTTCTGCCCACCAGCAAGGTTTGCAAAGATGTCTTCAATGCGAGGAAGAGGGTACTGCTCTGCTTGTAGTTCTGGATTCACTGTGATCTTGTAATCACCACAAAGTCTGACGGAACTATCTCTCTTGGGGGCAGGCACAATCGGTGTGGCCCTTTCACTCCACTCCTTTTTAGTGAGAATACCTTCATTCTGGAGTCTCCGCAGTTTCTCCTCCACCTTCGGCTTTAATGCATACGGCATCGGTCTGGCTTTGAGAAAGCGTGCTTGGCTGTCGTCTTTAAGAGTCAACCTCGCTTTGGCTGATGTAAAGGTGCCCAGTTTATTTTCAAAAAACATCAGAGTACTTGTCTAGCATAACGTCCAAACGCTCTTTAAGAATTGAGGTAGCTAGTGAGGCCTGCAGCGACTTGATAGAACACCAGTCAAGGCGTATGGTACGTAGCCAATCTCTTCCCATTAGAACAGGACCCTTATTCTTGACGACATACAGGTCCAACACCTCTCTTTGGTTTTGGTAATCCACGGGTACTTTGAGCACTCCTACTGGCATAATGTTTTCCCCGGTGTAGGTTTTCAAGGACGGTCCAGTTTTGTGCTGGAGAAGCCTGTTAAATTTCTGCTGGTAGAGGTCAAACGAGATGATAGACACAGCCGAACCTGTGTCCAGTTCCATCTTAAGTGGTTTACCATCAACATCCAAATCAACCCAGATAATATCATTGCTCTGTTTCCTCACATTGTGTACCTCAAAGGTGGCTAATATGTCTTCATACGCATCAACATCAACATCAACCTCAACAGCATGTACCTTTGGGGTTTTGGTTGCTTGCTTAGGCTTGCCTTGCTGTTTTGAACGACAAACTCGCTGGATATGGCCCTGTTTTCTGGTCCTTGTAAAAACAATTGTGTGTCAAATGCGTGTTCCCACCACAGCGGTAGCAAGGGGGGGTGGTCGCCCGTTTCGCTGGTGTTGGTTTGTTGTGTTCAGTCAACTTGTCAACGTGAGGGACTAGGTTGGGGTTGAGCTCACTTTGTAATTCTGAAGCATCGTGGATGGCAGTTTCCATTGCTACAGCAATCTCCACAGCTTTGGAATACTTCAAATTGGCTTCTGACAGTAATCGCTTTTGGATCTGCATATTTCGAAGTCCGCAAACCAGTCTATCTCGTAACGCTTCGTTCAGATTCCCGCCAAAATTGCAGTGTGTCGCAAGCTTCCTTAGCTCGGCCACGTAAGAAAAAATGCTTTCTCCTTCTTGTTGGTTTCTCTTGTAAAAACGAAATCTTTCCGCAATTTCCCAAGGGCTTTGGGCTCAAATGCTCCTGGAGAGTGGTAACTATCTGTTAAAAGGACTTTGTAGCTGGCTTGTCCGGTGCAAGAAGATCCCTCAGCAGAGTGTAGGTTTTCCCGCCGATCAAGCTCAACAAAGTTGGCACTTTATGGTCATCATCGATGTCGTTCGCCAAGAAAAACTGTTCTACTCGTTCCACATAGGTTTCCCAGTTCTCTTTTGTGTCATCAAAACTCTCTATCTTCCCAATAGTGGTCATAATTTCTTGAATTTTACCTCGTCGCCACTGTCATGTCTTTGAGTCGAACGGACTACGTTCCGGTATGGCGCATAAAAGTGCGCATGCTCAAAGTGTATTGGCCGCTGGCCAAAAACACCACACTCCATGGTTTCCGAAAATTTTTGGAAGGACCCTAAGTAGTATACTGGTTAGTAAAATGTGGAGAGTTTTGCTGCGCAACAAACTCTCCGCATTTTACTAACCAATAAACTACATGTGTGGACAGCGTCCACTCAAACTACCGCAAAAAACCGCGGCCTCTCGGAGAATGGCTCTTCGCACGGCCGCGGGGCAAGCCTTTCGTGAGCAGCCTATTAAATATTGGCACACACTTTGCATAATGGCTGCACAGACCCATCTCATCGATCTGGACATTGATCCGGACGAAGATGCAGAACGATCTCTCCAAAAAAATGTTACAAACTATTTTGGATGAATCGATCGGCGTGGAAACAAAGAGCAGGTTTTTGAGTGGGCTTGTTGCCACCGAGTATCAGCCAAAGCGTCCCATGAGAACCCCAGAAAATAGGAACACTAAAACTACAAGGGGTTTGGAAAAATTACATCTCCTTCATTCGATGCATTATGAGCACCCAGAGTTTACGGCGCAAAACGTCTTTGATGATTACGGGGGCGGAAAAATGTGGACGACACACCCAATTTTTGGGCACACTTTTTTTGGCAGCGAGAGGGCAGTGCATGGGCAGATTTTTTTACAGGGAGAGCTGTTCCCAAAGCAAGAGTGTGCCTTATTAGACATTTGCGAAAATATAATATATATGTGGCACACACGGTGAAGTTTGGCACAAATAGGACAGCGCACTGGAAAAAAACGTAGCCAAGCACCTTCTGGCAAAGAATACTTGGGAGAGCAACCTCGTGGCCGACATTTCGAAAGTTGGCCATCTCGAAGGCTATCAGGGCAGGGGACTGTTTCTCAAAAGTCCCGATAATTTACGGGCCCGTAAAGCTGTTGTTGTTTACATGCAAGATAGAGGTTTCAATAGTTTTGCATCTAACATAATAAAACGATAAGTTAATGAAACAAAACTGAGTTGTTTGCTAGCCAGGACTCGCGCTCTTATTCTTGATATTTCGATTTCAATATTTGATTTCGGGTCCGAAAAGTTGCTGGGAATTTCGAGAAACGGGCCCCAGGACACAACTGCGACTCTTGGAAGGGCTCCAAATTTCCTCCGACGACTTTTACGTCTACGGCCATCTTCCAAAAGACGAGGTTGTGTCGGTAGGAAATGGCTTGCATTGCATCTCGGGTAAAAAAGGCGACCCAAAACGAATAGTGTCACGCATTTCCAACTTTGTGCGAGAAACACTTGGAAGCACCTACAAAAACACCAAGCTGTTGTACCCCATTCCCGCAATTACTCCGGACGGTCGAATCATTGACACTATATTGACTATCCAAACCGAAACAAACAGCAAAGCAAAAAAACAATTGCAGATCCTGTTCCCTGAAATAGTGCTTTTCTACTATTTTGTTGCGAAGGTCCATATCGCAGAGGTGGAGATGGAAAAACTGCAACAGGCTCTTCCAACACTGGAAAGTTTGCTGGAGAACAGGGGCGACGCCATCTTCCAAATAGATTTCACCCAAGATTTTTTCGGGTGCACTCGACCGAAAAGCGCTTGTCGAGCATTTGCACAACTCGACAGATTTTGCTTTCCAGGATTTTGGGTTCCCAGAAGCGAGAGGCACTATTCTGGACAACACAGCGAGCGTTGGTGAGCAGGTTTGCACTTGGATACAGACGACCGACAGCGGGTATACGACAAGGACAAAGCTATACAACAAAATAGTCTCGCAGTTCGAAGCGGGAGAAGTCCAGACCCATTTTGAGGCCATCTTGCGGACTACGTCTGTTGTACGGAGAAACACCTTCGCCCACCTGAAAGCGCAAAAAAGGTTGTACTCGAATAGAGGTGTCTCTGTACGCTTATCAAGGGGGAGGCTTTCCGAAGAAACAGCGAAAGAGTTGGTATAAAACACCTTGGAGGAGGTTTCTCAAGAGGGAGAAGATTTGTTTGTGGCACAGCCGCCGAAAAGGCAATGGGAGAACCTTAGACCGCTGTCTCCTTCTTGCAGATAGACCGCAGGGAGAGATCCACATGACTTGGGGATTCCACAACACCACAGGGACAGGGGATAGACGCCACACCAACAAGAGATAGAGTGGACAACGACGCAACTTGGAAAAGAGCAATAGAGTGAATGGCTGCAGACTTTGGCTTCCGGCGTTGCCCAATTTTTAGGACAAAGATCTTGGCCATGCAGAGAGAGGAAGTCGTTTTCTCCGAACTCTGGTGCTGGACAAAAGACGCCCCGCACAATCCTGGCAGCAAGCCGAAGGCCGTGCCGGAAACACCCTGTTGCCCCAGACTCTTCAGAGTTAATTCGACCGACAGAGCGCATGGAGTGGATGTGGCGAAAAAAGCAAACAAGCACCATAGGAGCAGAAAACCCATCGTGCGAGTTGGTGGAGATGGCAGAAACAGCAGCACAGCGTGAGCTCTCCACAATCTCGACAAGGCTTCGTGAGTGGTGATTCGAGACGCTTCTGGATGCCGAGCATAGAGTGTCCTAGGAAGAAAGAAGTGAAACAGCTCGCCAAGGAGCATTGGAAAGAGGACGAGAGGCACCACATAGAGATCGAGGAAATGGGCAAACTAGTGGAAATGCATAGGCGCTATCACATAGAAAAAGAAGAAACACGCTTTGCCGTCGAAAAACTCCCTTCCAGCAGAGAAACCGCTTAAATCTCGCAATACCCAGAAAGCAGCTGGGACATTCTCGAATACAGGCGGCGAGAGGGTGGTGCTGGAAAAGGAGGGAAACCACAGATGTCTTTGGGGGACGAAAGGGCTGCAGCACATCCTGGAAAACCTTTCGACTCTTTCGAAAAAGAATACATCCACCACGGACTCACAATGATTTGGATCCCACAAAAAAAAGCCAAACTGCGAATCCAAATCGTGGCAAAGAAATCTTTCTAAAACGACGACGGCGAAAAAATCGAATGGAACTCAATCTGTCTGGTGCAAATGCCAAACCCAACCCAGATGCAAAAGCTGTTCGAAATACTATAGCAGCTAGAGAAAGAGGACGAGCTTTTGAAGCAGAAAAAAAAGAAGAAGAAGATGACAGGCACAAGCTTCGCCGGCGGGAGGGGATGCCTTCGCAAAAGAAATGAAAAAGGCCTTCGAAATGGAAGAAGGCGAATATTTGGTAACAAGCCACGAAGAAACGGAAAACGGTTTTCTTTCTTCTCCTACTTGGAGAAAACAAGGAGCCAACTACAGACGCCGAAGTACCAGTATGGGGCTATTTTGTGCAAGAGGAGGCGAAAAAAATGCAATATTTTAAAGAGGATGGATGTTTGTTTTCCCTGCTGGGAAGAGAGAACAGAACCGCATCAAGAAAACAGGAAAGGGTTACGCACTTTTTTGTAGAGCACAGGAACAGCAGTTCCGCTGGAAATGTCCCCGTAGAGGCCCCCGTAAAGGTCCCCGTAGGGGTCCTTGTAGAGATACAGGAGTGGAACTATGCCCGTCGGTCATTCTCCAGGGATAGCACAACATCGCCGCCGACAGCAACAGCAACTAGTGGCCCAAACGTCCAATTTTCCTATTCCAGAGCTTTTTGTGCAGGAACCTTGGCAAGAATAGTAGGGCCGGGGACGTTTGCCTTTGCGGCAATCTGTAGGGGGTCCCAGTCGGGACACCAATTGTTTCGTGCCTGGCAAGCTCTTGGCAAAAGCTATGGTATTCGTAGTACGGAACACCTCTCGACACCATCGAGAGCACCAGAAACGCGTTTGTGAAAAAGACCGTAAAAGTGGTTGCCGCCTCCCATGCAACCTACGCTGCGGTCTTCGGAGCTCTGGAGACCTTGGCAATCTTTGGAGCTGTTGCTGGAGGATGTAACCATTTGTATTTCCTGTAGAAGCAACCAGACACAGGAGACCCTTTCCAACCTGCGTAGTCCCATACCGGACCCCGAGCCTCCTGTACGAAAGCCGGCAAAGGGCAGAAAGAAAGTGCTTTTTGCCATGCAATAGTCCTCTTGGACACAAGTGCCCCTTCTTGTATAGATGCCTCTGCAGACACTTTTTCGAAGAGGTGTGCCGTACTACGAATATCATAGCTTTCGCCAAGAGCTTGCGAAGCACGAAAGAAATTGGTGTGCCAACTAAGATGCCCTGCAGATTAATGCAAAGGAAAACTTCCCCAGCCCTGCCATTCTTGCAAGGGTCCATGCAAAAAAAGCGCTGGAATAGGAAAACTATACGTTTGAGCCGCTTGTTGCTGTTGCCGTCTGTGGCGATGTTGTGCTATGCCTTGAGAACGGCTGGTGGGCATAGTTCCACCCCTATATCTCTACGAGGTCCCCTACGGGGGCCTCTACGGGGACATCGGCAGCGGAACTGCTGCTGCCATCCTCTACGAACAACTGCACAACCCTGCCTTGTTTTCTCGAAGGGGTTCTTTTCTCCCTTCCCAGCCGGCAAAACAAACAACTATCCACTTTGGAAAGTTGCATTTTTTTTGCCTCCTCTTGCACAAAACAGCCCCATAATGGTACTTCAGCGTCTGTAATTGGCTCCCCGTTTTCTCCAAGTGGAAGAAGAAAGAAAACCGTTTTCTCGGCTCCACGATACATCGTTTTTTTCGCAGCTTGTTGCTAAATATTCGCCTTCTTTTATTTCGAAGGCCTTTTTCCATTTCTTTTGCGATGGTAGCCCTTCCTGCCGGCAAAGCGCCTGCATGTGCCTACCTTCTTCTTTTTTTCGGCTTCAAAACCTCTTCCTCTTTCTTCAGCTGCTACAGTATTTCGAACAGCTTTTGCACCTGGTTTGGGTTTGGGATTTGCACCAGAGAGATTAAGTTCCATTCGATTTTTTTCACCGTCGCCGTGGTAGAAAGATTTCTTTGCTCCGATTCGGTTTCGCAGTTTGGCCCTTTTTGTCGGATCCAAAACATTGGGAGACCGTTGTGGGTGTATTCTTTTTCAAAAGAGTCGCCTTGGTCTTCCAGGATGCGGTGCAGCCCTTTTGTTTTCCCCAAAGACATCTGTGGTTCCCCTCCCCTTTCCAGCAACACCCTCTCGCCAACGCTTGTCGTCTTCCTGTATCCGAGAACGTCCCAGCAGCTTTCTGGGTATTTAGGGATTTTCGCAGTTTCTTTGCTGGAAAAGGTTTTTTGACGGCAGAGCGTGTTTCTTTATTTTCTACGTTATAGCGCCTGTGCATTTCCACTAGTTTGCCCATTTCTTTGATCTCTTTGCAGCGCCACTCGTCCTTCCACTGTTCCTTGGCGAGCTGTTTCATTCTTTCTTCCTAGGACACTCTATGCTCGGCATCTAGAAGCGTCTCGAATCGCCACGCACGAAGCCTTGCCGAGTGTGGAGAGCTCACGCTGCGTTTCTATCTCTGGCTTCACCTACTCGCACGATGGCGTTTTTCGCCACATCCACTCGATGCGCTCTGTCGGTGGAAGAACTCTGCAGGGTCTGGGGCAACTGTGTGTATCTTGCACGGCCTTCGGCTTGCTGCCATGATTGTGGAGGCGTCTTGTGCCCAGCACCAGAGTTTGGAGAAAACGAATTCCTCTCCCTGCATGGCCAAGATCTTTATCCTAAAGACTAGGCAACGCTAGAAGCCAAGGTCTGCGTCCATCCACTCTATTGCTCTTTTCCAAGTTGCTTCGTTGTCCACTCTATCTCTTGTTGGTTTGGCGACTATCCCCTGCACTCTGCTCGTGATAATGTGGACTTCCCAAACCATGTAGATCTCTCCCTGCCGTCTATCTGCAAGAAGGAAACAACGGCCCAAGACCGACGCAAGGTTCTGCCATTGCCTTTTCGGCTGCTGTACCACAAACAAACCTCCCTCTTGAGACACTTCCTCCAAGGCGTTTTGTACCAATTCTTTGTTTCTGCGCAAAGCCTCCCCCCTCGAGTATAACCTCTTTTTTGCACGTCTGGGTGCAAAAAAGGTGTTTATCAGTAGAACAGACGTAGTCTGCGAGATGGCCTCAAAATGGGTCCTGGACCTCTCCCGCTTCGAACTGGTAGACTATTTTGTTTGGCAGCTTTGTCCTTGTCGTATACCCGCTGTCGGTTGTCTGCATCCAAGTGCAAACTTGCTCGCCAACGCTCGCTGTGTTGTCCAGAATAGTGCCCCTCGCTTCTGTGAACCCAAAACCCTGGAAAGCAAAATCTGTCGAGTTATCCAAATGCTCTACAAGCGCTTTTCGGTCGAGCGTGCTAGAAAACTCCTGGGTGAAGTCGATTTGGAAGATGGCGTCGCCCCTGTCCTCCAGCAATCTTTCTAGTGTAGGGAGAGCCTGTTGCAGGTTTTACATCTACACCTCTGCGATATCGAGGTTCGCAATAAAATAACCAAAAAGCTCTTTTTTTAAGAAGAGGCCCTACCATTGATTTTTAGCCCTGCTGTTTGTTTTATTCAGTTGCACAGCAAAGTCCACAAAGTTGACACTGTCGATGCCTCCTGCACAGCAATACAAGTGGAGTACAAAGATTCCTTTTTGGCGACCTTGGTAATCGTCTTGTGGTTTACAAGATGAGGCTTAATCCTGACGTTACCTCTGTTTTTAGTCCTCCGCGTAAAGTACCCCAGGTTAAGGAAAACAGTGTCAAAAGAAACTTGACAAGATGGGCAAAAGCGTTATGATCACACCTGTAAGGGAGCCTATGGAATGGGTCTCACAAATGGTCGCTGCAAAGAAAGATGGACACATTCACATTTGCGTTGATCCAAAAGACCTCAACAAGGCGCTCAAAGGACTCCACTATCCGATGACGACAGTTGAAGATGGCGCCTCACGCATTACAGGTGCCACAGTGTTCTCTACGCTTGATTCAATAAATGACAGACTATGAGTGCTGACTACTCATAAATTCAGCTCCCTGTTTGAAAGGTAAAGTTTTCTCCGAACCATTTTGGAATGACCTTCGCTTTTGAGGTTTTTCATTGTGCATTCATCGTGGATGACCTGTTGGTATAGGGCGAAGGAACACCAATCTCTCGTGCTCCCGAAGGGAGCACGAGAGATTGGCTTCAAATTGTCTACAAAGAAACGTAGATTCCCTTGTGATTAAGTCTCCTAGGTTGGTCATTTGTTCATAAAGACAGGCCTCATGTGGTCTGATGAATCCAAAGTTACTGCAATGAATGATATGCCTGCCCCTCAGAGCCCTGAAGCACGTCATCGATTCCTTGATATGATCAAGTACCTAAGTTCATGAGCAATCTAAGCGAGAAGACTGCTCTCCTGCGCGAACTGCTACAGAGAGACATACACTGGAGCTGAGAAGCACCTCGTCCAAAAGCGTTTGAGCTCCAGAAGTTGGACACGTCAACCCCCTAGTCTTTAAGCTCTGTTTTCCTGCGAAGCCTGCCACACTGGCAGTGGACGCCTCAAAGAGTGGTCTTGGTGCCGCATGCCTGCAGGATAGTTGCCTTGTGGCATATACCTAAAGAGCCCTAACTGAAGCTAAAAATCAATATGCACAGATCAAGAAGGAACTGCTTGCAGCAGCATTTCATGATTTCATCTATGGTAGGGAAGTCCATATTGAAACTGATCACAAACCTCTCACAGCAATCGTAAACAAGCCTCTTTAAACAGCCCCTGGTTACAATTTGAAGTTTACTTACAGAAAAAGAACCGACCTGCATATGGCAGACACTCTCACGTGCCTACACAAATCAGAAACATGGTAATGAGAATGAATATTAGTTTGACATATCGTTCAGCGCAATCTCACCCACACGTATGGCTGAACTCCAAAGGCACAATCTCATGTTGGCGGTTTATTTTTTTATTTGGGTGGCCAGAAAAGCTCGAGAGCTAACCCCTAGAAGTAAAAACCATATTTTCCTGTAAAGGATAAGCTAATCGTGAATGTTGGTAGTATCCTTCTGAAAGGCCTAAGAGTTGTGGTCGCGTAGTCCCTACGCAAAGAGTTTGTTTAGAAACTGCACAAGGGATATCCTGGAGCAGATGCTGCAAAGAAAAGAGCACGGGATGTGTATTGTACCTCTATGACATCCGACATTGACTCTGCCATTGTTCTCTGTAAGCTGTGCAATAGTACCAAACCGCACAAGCAGAGAGAACCACTTGTTATTTATCTGATCCCAGACCTCCCCTGGTTATTTGTGAGTGCAGAGATATTAAACTGAAATGTATTGCGGTATCTGATACCTGTCGACTCTTACTCTGGTTTGTTAGCGACAGATACCCGTCGCGATTTGTCTTCCATAACTGTTATTAAGAGGATCAAACTTAGGCATTGTTTTGTTGTCCATGGTGTTTATTATAAAGTGTTTTGAGCCAGTGGTCCACAATTTGCAAGTAGAAAATTTCAAAGGTTTGCTAATGAATGGAGCTTTGAGGATGCCACCAGCATTCCATATCACCCACAGTCCAACAGTCTGGCCAAAAATGCTGTCAAACAAGCCAAGAACCTGCTTTGGAGGTGTAAGAAGGAAGGTTCTGATCCCTTTCTTGGCCTCCTTAATCTGTTTAAAGTTCCTAGAGATGAAACACAAGGTTCTCCTCCCTACTCCTGTGGCAAAGCAGCTCCTCACTCCAAAGGCAGCAAGTAGTAGAATTGTTGCCTCACGTCGTAAGTGAAAGCGCCAACAGCAGAAAGCTTATTATAATCAGCACGCCGACTATCTTCCGTTCCACCATCCAAAATGGGTTGTTAGACTTCAAACTGAGAAGAGTCGTGAGAAAGTTGGTATTGTTAAGAAACCAGCTGCTCAGCCGCAATCCTACATTGTGCAAACTGAAGAGAAGGATTACCGCAGAAAGCAGGTCTTTTAGCTATTCTAAAGCCCATTCCATCTCAGTCTACTGTTCAAACTCCTCCTCACTTAGCAGTAGTTCCTCAATATCCTTCTACCGTGTCAAATGCTCATCAGGCTCCTGCCATGTCAAATGAGGATGTACTCCCCGAGGCTACGGGTCCTGTCAAGACACCAGCCAAGAAACTACCGGAGCCTGAAGTCTGTCAGGTCCCCAACAAGGAAGTCTGTCGGTACCCAAGCTCAACTAAAGCCTTTCCTGGGAGGAATTACGCCAGAGGCCGCTTGTTCAAATGTTGATCCATACTCTAATGCCCCAAGACCACAAGCCGTTGTTAGATCTGGAAGAATCTCGAGACCTGATCCGAAATATAAGGACCGACAGTCACTTACCGTTGCAAATAAAGGACATATTTAGCATAGTCTTTTAGAACTGCCGATAAAAATACTGCATGGGTGTAATTGTATATTTTGTTTGGTTTTTTAGTGTAAGGATTTAAGTTATTTATTCATTTTTTTGTACCTGTGCACCTTTTGCATGCAATGCCCACGTATTTTCTATCCTGTATAAATAATTGACCATGTGTTTTTCAGTGGCACTCGGGTTGCAGTTCATGCTTTACAATATCCCATGATTCAAATCAAGCTCACAATGTTTAGACTTCCGGTAGAGGTATCTCAATACATTACAATACAGAAAGGGATGTAATGCAAACAAGTGGCTCTGTCGCTTTTACTAAAATGAAGGTGATACCGAAGTTGAAGTCTTTGCGCAAGCGTACCCAACGACATTATTTTCTAAAGCCACCCCAAAACGAATACTTCAGGAAATTATGCTTGATCTAAAGAGGTGCATTGAAATGCGCAGGAGTACTGAGGCTGCAAATTCGTAATTGAGAACTTTTTCAGCATCACAGAGCGAGGATGCACATGGCGCGAAAGACAAATAGCAGCGGCAGAAGAGACCTTTTGACAAGTCTAAGAAAAACCGGAAATCAGCAAGAAAGCTGAAGAAAAAAGGTAGAGGTCCCATGTGGAGAGCCATGCGTGCTAAATGTAAAGGAAGAAGTCACTTCGCCTCAAAATGCGAGAAGGTTAACAATCTAAGAGAAGAATCCGAGGAATCTGAAGATAGCGACAGATGATATATCACAAGCATTACAGGCGCACCGGAAGTGGTGCATGTAATTAAGAAAGAAAAGAAATGGTTGTTCCAAAGAAACCTGTCAGCCAAATCGTCCCATGAGAACCCCATGTACCACTTCCGGTCCGTCTGTAATGCTTGTGACATATTATATGTCGCTATCTTCAGATTCCTCGGATTCTTCTCTTAGATTTTTAACCATCTCGCATTTTGAGGCGAGGTGACTTCTCCCTTTACATTTAGCACATATGGCTCCCCACGCAGGACATCTACCTTTTTCTCCAGCTTTCTTGCTGATTTCCGGTTTTTCTTAGACTTGTCAAAAGATTTCTTCTGCAGCTGCTGTTTGCCTTTCGCGCCATTTATATCCTCACTCTGTGATGCTGAAAAGATTCTCAATTACGAATTTGCAGCCTCAGGACTACTGCGCATTTCAATGCACCTCTTTAGATCAAGCGTAATTTCCTGAAGTAGTCGTTTTCGAGTATCTTTAGAAAATGATGTCTTTGGGTACACTTGCGCACAGACTTCATCTTCAGTATCAACTTCATTTTAGTAAAAGCGACTGAGCCACTTGTTCGCATTACATACCTTTCTGTATTGTAATGTATTGAGATACTTCTACCGAAAGTCTAAACATTGTGAGCTTGATTTAAATCATGGATATTGTAGAGTATGAACTGCAAACCGAGTGCCACTGAAAAAAACATGGTCAATTTTTTCTACTTCATAGAAATCACGTAGGCAATGCATGCAAAAGGTGCACAGGTACAAAAAGAATAAATAAGTTAAATCCTTACACTAAAAACGAGAAAGAAATACTTTTAAAGCGATGCCGTATTTTTGTCGGCAGTTCTAAAAGACTATGCTAAATATGTCCTTTATTTGCAACGGTAAGTGACGGTAAGTCCTTATATTTGGGATCAGGTCTCGAGATTCTTCCAGATCTAGCGACGGCTTATGGTCTTGGGGCATTAGAGGATGGAAGAACATTTGAACAAGCGGCCTCTGGCGTAACTCCTCCAAGGAAAGGCTTTAGTTGAGCTTGGGGACCGATACACTTTCTTGTTGGGGACCTCTGAGAGACTGCGGGCTCTGCTGGTTTCTTGGCAGGTGTCATGACAGGACCCGTAGCCTCAGGGAGTATATCCTCATTTGACATGGCAGGATGCTGGTGAGCATTTGACTCGATAGGAGGATGTTGAGGAACTGTTGGTAAGTGAGGAGAAGTTTGAGCAGCAGACTGAGATGGAATAGGCTTTAGAATAGCTAAAAGATGTCCCTGGTTTCTGCGGCACTCCTTCTCTTCAGTTTGCACGATGTAGGGTCCCTGCTGAGCAGCTGGTGTCTTAACAATGCCAACTTTCTCACGACTCTTCTCAGTATGAAGTCTAACAACCCATTTTGGATGGTGGAGCGTAAGATACTTGACGTGCTGATTATAATAAGCTTTCTGCCGTTGGCGCTTTCACTTACGACGTGAGGCAACAATTCTACTACTTGCTGCCTTAGGAGTGAGGAGCTGTTTAACGACAGGAGTAGGGAGGAGAACCTAGTGTTTGATCTCTCGGAACATTAAACAGATTAAGGAGGCCAAGAAAGGGATCAGAACCTTCCTTTTTACACTTGCAAAGCAGGTTCTTGGCTTGTTTGACAGCATTCTCGGCCAGACTGTTAGACTGTGGATGATATGGAATGCTGGTGGCATCCTCAAAGCTCCATTCATTAGCGAGACTTTGAAATTTTCTACTTGCAAATTGTGGACCACTGGCACAAAACACTTTACAATAAACACCATGGACAACAAAACAATGCCTAAGTTTGATCCTCTTAATAACAGTTATGGAAGACAAATCGCGACGGGTATCTGTCGCTAACAAACCAGAGTAAGAGTCGACAGGTATCAGATACCGCAATACATTTCAGTTTAATATCTCTGCACTTGTGGAGGTTTGGGATCAGATAAATACAAGCTTACTTGAGAACAATTGCACAGCTTACAGAGAACAATGGCAGAGTCAATGTCGGATGTCATAGAGGTACAATACACATCCCGTGCTCTTTTCTTTGCAGCATCTGCTCCAGGATATCCCTTGTGCAGTTTCTAAACAAACTCTTTGCGTAGGGACTACGGGACCACAACTCTTAGGCCTTTCAGAAGGATACTACCAACATTCACGATTAGCTCATCCTTTACAGGAAAATATGGTTTTTACTTCTAGGGGTTAGCTCTCGAGCTTTTCTGGCCACCCAAATAAAAAAATAATTCACCAACACGAGATTGTGCCTTTGGAGTTCAGCCATACGTGTGAGTGAGATTGCGCTGAACAATATGTCAAACTGATATTCGTCCTCACCACCATTTTGCATGATTCGTGTAGGCACGTGACAGTGTCTGTCATACGCAGTTCGGTTCTTTTCCTGTAAGTGAACTTCAAATTGTAACTTGAAAGCTGCAACAGCGTTAGTTGAAGATGGTCAGGGGCTGTTTGAAGAGGCTTGTTTACGATTGCTGTGAGAGGTTTGTGTCAGTTTCAATATGGCTTCCCTACCATAGATAAAATCATGAAATAGTGCTGCAAGCAGTTCCTTCTTGATCTGTGCGCATTGATTTTTAGCTTCAGCTAGGGCTCTTTAGGTATATGCCACAAGGCAACCATCCTGTAGGCATGCGGAAGCAAGACCAATCTTTGAGGCGTCCACTGATAGTTTGGCAAGCTTCGCAGGAAAATAGAACTTAAGGACTTGGGAGTTGACGTGTCCAACTTTTGGACGAGGTGCTTCCCAGCTTCAGTGGATGTCTCTCTGTGGCAGTTGGTGCAGGGGAGCAGTCTTCTCGCTGAGATTACTGATGAACTTAGGTAATTGATCATATCAAGGAATCGATGACGTGCTTCAGGGCTCTGAGGGGCGGGCATATCATTCATTGCAGTAACTTTGGCTTCATCAGGCCGCATGATGCCTGTCTTTATGAACAAATGACCAACATCGGGGACTTGATCGCCGGAGAATCTAGATTTCTTCATGGACAATTTGAAGCCAATCTCTCGTGCTCCCTGCGTGATTATTCCTTCATTTTCATCGTGCTCTGGTCTTCCTTCTCTCTATACCAACAGGTTATCCACGATAATTGAACAGGACTACCCAGCTAACAGACCCCAAAAGCGAAGGTCATTCCAAAAGGGTTCGGACAAAACTGTACCTTTCAAACAGGGAGCTGAAAGTTATGAGTAGTGAGCACTCATAGTCTAATTTGATTTATTGAATCAAGCGTAGAGAACACTGTGGCACTGGTAATGGGTGAAGCGCTATCTTCAACTGTCGTCATCGGATAGTGGAGTCCTTTGAGCGCCTTGTTGAGGTATTTTGGATCAACGCAGATGTGAATGTATCCATCTTTCTTTGCAGCGACCATTTGTGATACCCACTGCGTAGGCTCCTTTACAGGTGTGATCACAGCGATTTTGGTCATCTTGTCAAGTTTCTTTTGACACTCTTTTCCTTAACTTGGGGTACCTTACGCGGAGGACTAAAAACACAGGTAAGGTCAGGATTAAGCCTCATCTTGTAAACCACAAGAAGGTTACCAAGGTCACCAAAAAAGAATCTTTGTACTCCTCTTGTATTGCTGCGCAGACGGCTTCGACAGTCTCAACTTTGTGGTCTTCGCTGTGCAACTGAACAAGATTTAGGCTTAGGTAATCCATAGGGCCAAGATGTTATGTGCCTTCCAGATCACGGCAGATAGACTGAAGCGACAGTTAAGGATTACAGTTCCCAGGCTAGTGTGTCTCCATCATAAGCAAACATTTACACTGTCCTTCACGTAACCCGTAAACTCGTTTGATGTACTGAACTGCCAACGGAGTGCCATTGAATTACCATCGTCTACGACCGGAAGTGAAATACAGTGCACTGCGCAAGCGCGGCCAGCAAATTTCGTCATTGTAGAGTCGTCGACACGCCCAACAACGTAGACTCACGTCGTTGTGCAATCCACAAGCTTCGGCAGGTATAAATCCAGGTATGTTTTTAAGCGAGTTTTGAAGTCATTTGCATTTTTTTATCTTCGTAAATCGAGCTATCCTTTTTTTTTCTCCTAACAAGGGATGTTCATTGAGAATTCGACTACACTTGTAAGTGGTAAGTTTATTTGTACGTATTTGTATATATCTTTGATACAGAGGAAATAAACTTTATGTGTGTAACGTTTTATGTCGTTCGAATTAGCAACATAGAGAGAGAGAGACGCATCAACTAGTCAACCCCAGTTTTAATAATGAATCTTCGAACATTACAAGAGAATCAATGAATTAATGTTCTAATCACGCAACAGCCGATTTTAAACTAAGGCGATGATTCAACTACTATTATAAGATTACATCACGCGAGTGCCTATGTTGATTTACTGTCAAGTCCGATATTAACATGTCATAGATCGAATATCGTGACATCTCCTTTTTCTTAATAGTTCATCAGGTAATCGTCGTGCCAAGCTGGTGGTTTCCTTACACGGGTTGAACGACGAGGTTGAGTGACTGGTTCGGGAGTCACACCCGAGGTGTCATCTCGACAACGAGTGGGCTGTGTTGTTTCTTGGCTGTTAACGGGAGATGTTACATCGGCGTCATTGTTCGGAAGATCTTCAAGTGTAGCGTGTGGAGGTGCTTCGGTCGTTGTTCTTAGGTTGCGCCTGTTGCGACGATAACGGCGACCTGCGACTTCCACTTCGTAAGAGCGGTTAGGCAGTGCCTTGACGCAGCTGCCAAGAGACTATTTTGTATCACCAGGGAGTTTCATTCGAATCGCTCGACCGGGCTGGATCGGAAGCAGCGAATGAATTTTCTTGTTGTACTGCAATTATTGTTTCTGTTTGCGCTGCGCCAACTTTGCTTCTGTTTCGGAGTCTAACTGTGGCTTCAGAAGTTTGGTATGTGTTGGCAGGAGTGTTCTTGTTCTTCTACCCATAAGACGCTGGACAGGCGAGGTTCCTAGACCCTCTGTGGGCGTGTTTCTCCAGTCCAAGAAAGCTAGCAGTGGATCTCTGTTGTCTGCTCGGGCTTTCTTTAACAGATTTTTGCAGATTTTAAGGGCGTTCTCTGCCTTTCCATTTGACTGGGGATGGTGCGGACTTGAAGTCTTGTGTTCCAATTTCCACGCCTCGGCGAGTTTCGCGAATTCTGATGAGCTAAATTGTGTCCCGTTGTCTGTAATAAGGACATCAGGAATTCCATGTCTTGCAAACTGCACTTTGCAAGCGGTGATGACAGTTGTGGAGGTGATCCGTTTGAGTTCTTGTACTTCGAAATAACTGGACCAGTAGTCGATCAGTATTAAGAAGTTTTGTTGACCAAGTTCGAATAAGTAAGCTCCTACTTTCGACCACGGACGGCTTGGCATTTCGTGCGGCTGGAGGTCTTCTCTACACTGTTCTGGCGCAAATGATTGACAAATGCTGCATTTGGAAACGAAATCTGTTACTTCAGCGTTGATTCTTGGCCAGAACAGCAACTCTCTGGCTCTTCTTAAGCATCCGTTCATTCCGATATGTAAGCGGTGTATTTCTTCCAGCATATCGGTGCGCAGCGAGGGTGGAACGACTAAGCGTTCGCCACGAAAGACCAGCCCGTTTTCTTCAATTAGCTCGCTTCAGCTTTCGTGGTAGGGTATTAGCGGACTAGGGCATTCTTTACGGCTTGATGGCCACCCTTTTTGTATTTGACTTGTTAAAAGCTGCATTTCTGGGCCCTGGGCTGTGCGCAGTTTGAACCCTTCCAACCGTTTGGGTGATACTGAAAGTCCACCTGTGTGATACACTTCTCGTAATGCACGCACTTCGCTGCTATAATGTTGAGCATCGTCGGTCGTAAGCCTATAGGAACGGCTCAGGGCATCTGCAATAAACATTAGACGGCCTTTCTTGTATCTAATGTCCAGAGAATAATGCTGCAGTGCCATTCTCATTCTCTGTAAGTGCTTTGGTGATTGGTGTATTGGCTTCTTGACTACTGCCTGCAGTGGCTCATGGTCGGAATCTACGTGTAGGACGTCACGACCATATATGTACTGGTCAAATTTGTGACAAGACCATACGATGGCAAGAAGCTCTTTCTCGATCTGTGCGTATCTTGTCTCATTGTCGGTGAGAGCTCTTGAGGCGTAGTAGATCGGTTGGCCATTTTGCATAAGGACAGCTCCGAGACCAGTTTCAGAGGCGTCACACTGGATTGTTACTTTTCGTTAACATTATAGTACTTGAGAAGTGGGGATTCAGTCACTTACTTCTTAACTGTGTTGAAGGCAATACTGTGTTGCTTTAGCCACTGCCACTCAGCGTCCTTATCTTCTAGTCTGCGTAGTGGTTCTGTCATTTCGCTCAGGTGTGGCATAAATTTTGACAAATAGTTAACCATTCCAAGGAAACGTTTGAGTGCAGTGACATTATCTGGTTCAGGCATAGCAGTGATAGCTTCTACCTTTGCGGGATCAGGTTTGAGACCTTCAGGTGTCAGCTGATGTCCCATAAAGCGCACATTGGTCTGTGCTCGCTGTACTTTATCGCGATTGAGCTTCAAATTCCATTCCTTACACCTAGTAAAGAAGGAACGTTCGTTTTGCTCCAGGATCTTGTGGGCTTCTTCTTTAATATCATCGAGGCCGGCAATAATGAAGTCGTCTGCAATGACTTCTATGCCTTGAAGACCCTCTATGAATTCATGTATGGTCCTTTGCCATACTTCTGGGGCTAAACAGATGCTGAAGGGCATGCGTAGCCATCGGTAGGCCCGAAAGGTATGTTAAACGTGGTTTTGCAGCTGGACTCAAATCTAGCCTCTTTTGCCAAAAAGCATCTTTTGCATCAACTACTGTGAAGAGCTTTGCTCTGTTCAGACGAGTGGCGACCTCTTCGATTGTCGGCATCTGATAATGCTCTTGCTTTATAGCTTCATTGAGATCCCTTGGGTCCAAACAGATTCGTATCTTGTTCGGCTTTATTACAGCAACCATGCTTGAGACCCATTCGGTAGGTTCAGTTACTGGTGTAATAACCTTTCGCCGTACCAACTCATCAAGTTTTTCTCTGATTTTAGGGCGGAGTGCAATCGGCTTGTCTTGAGGGGTGTAGCTATGGTTTTACAGTTTAATGAGTGATGATTTTGTACTCTCCGAGTAGTTATCCTAGTCCCTCAAAAGCATCTTTGAATTCTTCAAGGATCGCGTTACTACGTGATGATATCGTGAGTGAAAGAACGTCACAGTCATGGAACGTGACTATTCCAAGCGCGATACTTGTGTTGAGTGATAAGATGGGCTGATACTCGCCATCGATAACATTAAACGTCAACGTTTGTGTACTGCGTTTGTGCCAGACTCGAAGATTTATCTTTCCTGCTATCTGCCGTCGTTCGCCAGTGTAGGAAACGATCGATTTATTGCACTTTCGTAACATACTAAGGTTCGTGTCACCGGTTAGGGACTTGTACAATTTAGTTGGCAGCAAGTTACATTCTGACCCTGTATCCACTTGAAATCGTACTTGATTTCCGGGCTTTTTAGTGCTGACAAATATGTCAACGAATGCTTTGTTGACACTAGGACGGGAATCTTCATCAACAGTGCAGATTTCGTATGACACATCTTCTTCTGAAGCTTCTTCACCTACAGTACCAACGAGCTTGGTGCGGCAAAGGGATTGATAGTGGTTAAGATTTCCACATCTACGACATTTCTGTGGAAATGCCTGACAATTTTTCTTTGCGTGTTTTGTTCCACATCTGCCACAGAGATCTCGTGATACTTCCCGTTTTTGATGAGTCTTCTTAAAACTATTGTTGTTTTTACCACTGCCCTGTTTTAACGCATTTACGTTCGCGGTTCCACCGAGGTTTCCACTCATAAGTTTGACTTGTTGTTCAGTCTGTTTCTGCTTTAATTAAATCGACAGCTTTTTGCAACGTTAAATCGTTTAATCGGAGTAATCTCTCACGGATTTTGTCATCTCGAATTCCCAGCACAATTCTGTCACGTAAGATGTCATCTGGAGTGATACTTTCATGTTGGCTTAATTCTGTAAGGTATGATGCGATGCTTTCTCCAGGTTCTTGGTTACGATTTATTAAATCGATAGCGTTGGTAGATGACCTGTGTTCGTGGATCACAGTATTCATCGAACTTTGCAAGGACATCTTCTATTTTTGAGTCGTCCTTGGTTTCTCCCCATTCGAAGGCATCGAATGCTTTTGTGGCGTCCTCTCCAATAACTGACAGCATTGTTCAGACTCTTACCAGTTGTTCCTGCTTGTTTACGCCTGTGGCGACCTCGTATCTTGTCCCCGCTTTCTTCCACGCGTTCCAGTTGGTGGCTAAATTGTCGTCCATCATAAGTGGCTTGGGTGGGGGCAAGTTTGCAGGCGGCATGTAGATTTGAGCGGTGGGTAATATTGCTTGAGCTGGCGTCGCTTCTTCATGAGCAAGCGATGCTTCTGATGACCCTGTAGTTGGCATCGTGGTTCAGTTTTGTCTGACACCATGTAACGTTTTATGTCGTTCGAATTAGCGACATAAAGAAAGAGAGACGCATCAACTAGTCAACTCCAGTTTTAATAATGAATCTTCGAACATTACAAGAAAATCAATGAATTATTGTTCTAATCACGCAACAGCCGATTGTAAACTAAGGCGATGATTCAACTACTGTTATTGGATTACATCACGCGAGTCCCTTTGTTGATTTACTGTCAAGTTCGATATTAAAATGTCATAGATCGAATATCGTGACAATGTGGAAAACAGCTATCGCATTGGAATGTCTCTTTTTCCAAATGTAAACTCTGACAGACATTCGGACTCGGTCATTTCATTGGGGTTGAAAATTAAATAATCTTCTTACGGGAAGCGGGGGTTTTTCCATTCGAAAAGGTCAGACAACAGTAAAAATTCTTCATCGTGAATGAAATTAGACTTCACGGCTTAAAAAAGGATCTTGCATTGTTTTAAAAGACACCATTGCGAAAAAAGTTTGTTGCAAACGAACATCACAGTTTTACATTTATGTTTACATTCGGTGTCTTCGTCGTCGACCTACCGACCGACTGCATCTTAAGTTTCCCTTTTCCCGCCGAAAGTGACGTTCTCCTTCCAGTCCTTTCCCATTTAAGAGACGTCGTCTCGTGAACTTCGTTATGGTTCTTAAGTACCCCACTAACTCCAGTTGGACGACTGTGAAACAAATCTTCGAAGTCCGTGGCCTGCCTTACTTCGACCCTGAGGGAGAACCGAATTCATTACATGTTCTATGGAAATGATGGATTTATGTCCTAAGTCCACTTCCTTCCGGAAAAAAACTTACATGTAGTAGTTGATTATTATAGTAGTCATCATGCGTTCAACCACGTCTCAGAATATGATAGAGGCACAAATGCCAATCTTTACACAGTATGGATACCCATTCAGCCTTACGTCTGACATCGCCCCTCAGTTTGTGTCAGAGGAATTTGAAAATTTCCTAGCTAAACGTGGGATCCAACACCAGAAATTTTTATCTGTTTGGCCTCAAGAAAATGGCAAGGTAGAGGGTCAGAACCGAACATTGCTGAAATCACTCAAGAACAGCAGAAGGGAAGAAATAGAAGGAAGAATGAAATAAATTCCTCTTGGCTTATAGAACCACACTGCATAGTTGCACATGATCAACCTCAGCATTTCTAATGTTTGGAAATGAGCTAAGGACTAAACTTCTAGAACAGAGAAGAGCTGAGAATCTGTTTGATGAGGGAGTAAGAGATCGTGATTGGAACCACAAGATGATCCACAAGACATATGCTGACAACAGGCGGGGTGTAGCAAAAAATCCTGTAATGGCCGGAGACGTAGCTTTAATGAAGAACACAAAAACGTTTGGAAAGCTTCACGCAAATTTCCAAAGTGAGCCATACACAGTGCCGACAAAGGAAGGCAGTGAGGTGACCGTTTGGTCGAAAGAGGACGTGGAAGAAAGAAGGAACAGTTTTTTCGATAAACGGTTAAACTAACCAGAGAACATGGCAGATGCATGGCCCAGCACCTTCTTCAAGTGCCTCGGAGGAAAATGTAGCAACATCAAGACCTGGGCAGACAATCAGAAAGCCCGAAAGCCTGATTGTTAATTGCTGAACTCTGTTAGATTTTGCTCGAAATTAATGGTTTACTGGAACAGAAAAGTATTTTCAGATAAAGATTTCGAACTGACATATTTCTTTTCCAATTAAATCATTTCTAAAAAAAGGAAGAGATGTAATGTATTGAGACATTTCTACCGAAAGTTCTAGTCCACCGGACGTCTAAACATTGTCATCTTGATTTGAATAATGGCATCTTGTAGAGCATGGTGGCGGATTATCGTGGCGTTTTGGGTAAAGTTTGTTTGTTGAGTTTGATCTCGAGTATCATATGCCATCCTCGGGAATTGTTACACGTATTTTGGAGCATTTTTGGAACCACGAGTACCGTCACTATTATGAGGGGTCCATAAAGAGAGGTGCGAATGTATTTTTTTCCAAAAATAGTGAAAAAAACGCGATTCCCAACGAGTCGTCGAAAAACGTGGGATTCCGGCTGCACCTGCTGCGTTAAGAACGGTTCAAAATACAATTTGTTTCTCTTCTCCACTTTCCCCTAGCGTTAAAGCACAACTAAGAACACATTTTGACAAAAAAGATCGCAAAAACCAAGGAAGCACGCAGCTTCTTTAAGCGTTTGGTCATATTAAGTCGTGTAAACTTTCTACAAGTTCATCACACTCTGCAAATTTCGTCTGTGCCAATGAAAATTGAAGTAGAAACCAAAAACACGAAACTTTTTTGACCTCGTATTCAATTTTCGAAAAAAAGACAATTTCCGTTAAATCGAAATATTTGAAAGAAATCTCCAACATTTTTTTTAAGAACTTCCAGTTTGATTACTCAGTTGTTCATTGAAAACAGTCATGGTTTACGTCGGCGTTTCTCACAAATATATACATGTTGCCGATAAAAAGTAACTTTTATAAGATCACTCTTGTAAAATGACTGACTGCTATGCCAAAGTCACAAAATGAGAACGTTGTCATTGTTAACTCTGTTTAATAGTACTGTTTTTATCCTACAATATCCTTTTTCGGACGGACAATACTTCGTTTTATATCTAAGATTTTCTTCATTGATATTACTACCGCATTTAAAAGACTCTTCTGTATATTCATTACATTGCACGCAAGACCTAAACGTTCTCATAATTTGAGTAATAACAAACGTTCATGACCTTGTATGTTCCAATAGAAATGGGCGGAATGAAAGTTCCCCTGTTCGAATCTATAGTCAAAATTCAAACATGGTTCAGAGAATGTAAAAGGCGCAGAATTATCCACGAAATTCGGCATGTTAACGAGTTCAGCTTACTTTTAAAAAATCCTCTCATAAAAACACTGACTGTTCTAGTAAATCGAAATCATTTTGCTGTTAAGTTACTGCATTGGCACGAGCAGGAAATATATTGAACTTTTCTTTTCTTACACACTTTTAGATACATCTAGGTACCATATTTATGTCTTTTTTTTGCTTGGGGAAGATATTCAAACTTACAAAATTGTTGATACTAGGTTACTAACCTTGCACGAAGCTTGATTGTGGCACTGCTTGCAGGAGGAACTTTCACAACAATAAACCAAGTTCACTTTCAACAGTGTTTTATTTAACACCTGCAGCCAAACGCAAAAATTAAGCTAAGATGACTGTCTGCAATCAATACTAAATAAGCACGAGGAATATTTTTCTTAATGGCGAACGAAATTTTCTAGGCTAATTGCTAATAATTATTGCGCCAAACTTTGAAATGGGAGTCTGTAGATAGATGACCATGGAGATTGCCACGTCCCTATTGGTTGGTACAAACAGAAAGTGAAGTCCTGCTGACTGATTCTAATTTGACATTAAACGTGACTGACAGTTGAACTTTAAATGGTCACAAGATAGAAGGCGATTGCTATTGCAATTCACTGTTAATTGGTAAATTATTGGATAATTTAAATTTTGCTTAGCTACTTGCCTAAATTAGCTAAGTAAGAAATTTGATGATTTTCGTTAGTGACGTCAGCCATTTGTTTTAAAGCAAGCAAACTAAATGGTTTAGTTGCTTTTCACCACAGGAAACATAAAGGCCGACGTAGGATCATATATTTTTCTCCTAAAAACCGAAGCAATAAAGCCAAAAAGAATTCTCTCGATTAATTTGTTGTAATTTTAAACTTTCGACATTTGCATTGGTAGTTACACCATGTGGAACATCAGCCTAAAGAGTAAAGTGTCATCTTAAATTAGTATTCATGATCCCAAAATTAAGACGAGTAAAGTTAGGAGACCAAGAAAAACAAAGAATTAAGGAATTGCTTAAAACTATGACAATCTTTCCTTTACTACAGTAAAGTATAAAATGTTAAGCACCAAGAGATTGGCACACATCTTCCAATGTAAGAACTAAGACCTCTAAGACCTTAGGGAATAGTTTAATTGGACGGGTAAACTTATCACTCATAATGTCAATGAGCCTTTCTCCGATAAAGGCTGATATCAATGAAAGTTGAAGGTGTCGCGTAAATAGTGCTACGTTGTTCTTTTTTGATTTTAAAAGAAAAACCGTCGAGTTGTAGCGATTTGTACAACATACTAGCTTTTCACAAAATACCACAAATTAATATAATACCCAGAACCGGTATTTTAGAAGAATTTTACTTAACATTGTTTTCTTTCCAGGGACATTTCTAGCCGAAAACTGTATCTTTTGACTAAACCCCTCACAATTTATAGAGTTCCCTAATAGCCCAAACATTCTGACGACTTTGAGTTATACGACGTCTATGGCACAACCAAAGATGGTTAAGGGAAGGGTACTTTACAAGACGAATTTAGTCAGAAGAGCTGAAAATTTTTTTCAGCCAAAAATACGTGAGCGACCTTAATTTACAAACCTTTTACAAGGTTCCTGCATGCAACTAATTATAATCAAACTTGTTCCGCCCACACTGGTTAATAATGATAGCAATATCTGAGCAATTGGTACTATACTCACTGAAACATCTGTAGCTGTCACACAAAAAAATTTACAGGAAGGTAAAACAGGTAAAAACATTAATAGATGTATTCTTTCGGAAACTAGGGAAGACTTATACTTTATTAATTACCGCTGCATTGTGGATAAAAGAAACCAATTAAACTGCTGCTTAAGCTTTAATCATGCTGCTATAACAATATACTAAATAA